CTTGTTCTACATAAATTAAATTTGATACGATATTGTGGAAAAGCAAAGATATAAAGCTGTCTCACCATGCAGGTACAGAATTAAAGGAATAAATTACTTCGAATGGAATCCCACACTGCTATTGTTGCTGTTAATAAAGTACTAGCGTAGGTAGTTTCAATTCTTTCCGAGATGGAATTTTGTGCGAAAGTGTACATATGAAAAAACTTGAATCGTTTGTGTATCTCGATGTGGATCTTGAAAAGTTGCATTTATAAATAATTCAAAATATGCGGATGATGCAAGCTTTTTCAAAATTGTGTCCGCTAATCCAGAAACTTTAATCTCGCGGTTGCTCCGACAATTCTCTATTTTATTTATGATGTATGTCAACATTTACTTTGGCACGGATCACATTGTTGCCGTTTGAAGAAGGTTAAGGATTATTATCGGTTTTTATTTTGAGGATGAGATTGAACGCGACAAGGCGAGCGTGTATAACGTCAACGAAGGTTTTTAAGACACTTTTAGGCATAAAATGACGTCGTCCGCTATAATTTACGGTTATCAGAGAGCACCGTGCCAAATGGGCCGCACTAATGCAACGAGAAGAAATAATACAATGGCCTAGAATTCACCCGTAAATCCGATTAAACAGTTTCTACCGAAGCCGCAAAGAAATAAAAATAAAAGATACATTTTAACTCTTTGCAAAAGGTTTATTCCATTTTTTTCATTAAATTTATTCCGTATCGAAATAGCAACTTTATCTTTCCGTACACTTATAAAATGGAAATGAAAGATAAATACGCGAGATTAAAAAAGAACGAAACAAAAAATACGACAGATACTTATCAAATATTTTCAATTTCATTTTTGGCAAGCTATCGCATAACATTATAATAACATGGTTACATTGAAATCGTATATATTTCGTTCAGTTGCGCATCATGCAGATATTTCCATTTTTATGCAAGCAAATTCTATATAAAATATAGGAAATAAATTAAATTCTTTTAAAAGATCAATTTCCATAAAAAGTCGAATAAATAAAACGTTCTCTTTATAATTATATCATTAATTTATGTACTGATGCTCTTCGCAAAGAATATATAAGGATATTTGAATTATTCCTCGTTTCTTTAAAACTTGATAAAACTTGGAAAAACGAATCAGTGAAAATATATATATATTTAAAAATACTACAGTGGTAACGGCTCTGCGCTTAAAATAATGGTTATAACAACAATCAACAAAACCTTCGATTTTATTGGCTTTTAATGTGTGCAATAGTTTTTCTCTCCAATCGTCATCCGTTCAGAATAAATCTAAACCAATGACTTCTACCATTTTGTTTCGATTTGGCCGTTTGCCAATTATTCCATCATAATATACACGATGTAACGTAGCGATGATACGCATCCCTTGTTTCTGCGGCTACAAAAAGCGTTCGTCTAATGAAGAGAAACGAACCGATCGACATCATCGATCGACATGTGCAACTCTATTTCCGGATATCCTGGGATGATTCACGATAATTCCATGAGTCCCATGAGAATAGAATATTCGTGTGAACAGAAGAGATGAGGGAGATCTCTTTTCTGTTTTCGAGGCTCGACCTTTAGAGACTTCAATGACATTCAATGCGTATTAATTTTGGTGGTTTGCAATGAACAGATGAAAAGGGACTAATAAATGTTACACTCGCAATGTTAGAAATGAAATTAATCTATTGGAGAATATGCCATAACTATTTGCATAACCATAGACCGCGAAGATTTAAATATAGATTGATTGCTGTGAGACACGTAATTAGTAGGATCGAGAATTATAAATAGAATACAGAATTATTAATAGAATTAAAGATATTTCAGAAAGCTATTTCTACACAAAAACAATGTGAAAAGGTGTATAAATTGAAATGACGTGTTAAAAATCGAATCTTTGCACACTTCACTTTGTCTATTCTGTAGATATCAAAGAAGCAATGATAATTAATTCATAAATTAAATAACATTTTGTTAAATAACATTTTTAACTTGCCATTTTTATCTGTGTCAATATGTAAATCAGTCCATTTTTATGGTTAGTTTCAAACTAAACATCATCCATATATTAATGTATATCTACACTTAGTAAATAATAAACTAAATCTGAATCAATTAAATACATTTTCTTTAAGTTAAATTGTTTAACACTATTGTTTTAGTCAAATTAACACATTGGATAGGATAATGGCGACTCATGGAAATGATTATAAATAAATCAAATTAAATATAATATGACATTATGAATTTAACAGTATAAAGTGGCAATCTACAATGAGATTTTAAAGCGTAAAACTTAAATTTTATATCTTAAGCTGTAAGAAATTAACTGACTAATTGATCACAGTCACGAATGTGAGGAGAATAATTGACTATTAGCGTTTTCGATTGCAATAGATTTGATCTGAGTTGGATTAATGATGTCACATGTTCTGCTATTAGTTGATCTATCAATAATAGAGGATGCAATCGAAAACGCTATATGATTGATCAATTTCTTACGGCTTATGGTTTAAAGTTTAAATTTCACGTCTTAAAATATTATTGTAGATGCTTAAGATCAGCTGTAATCTAGGTTCTCAATTTATTCTTTATCTTTTTCTAATTTTAGAAAAGAATTAGAGAGAGAAAAAATAAACAATAAATTAAACCAAGATTAAAGTTAATTTTGGTGAAATCAATCCTTAAGGCCTAAAATTTAAAATTTTATGTCTTCAAATCTTATTGTAAATGCCGCTTTAGGCACGGAACGTCAAGCAAAAATGACTGGAGAGCGTTTTTGACAGTGTAAACCGCATGCATAGACGGTTTTCTGGAATCGATCCAAGTAGTGGGTGCCGTCACTGCGACTAAACGTCAAAGGGATCCACGGCTGCGATACAAAGTCTCGGTTCGACCCCCGCGTGCAGAAATCCTCAATCCCAATTACGAACAAACAAGTATCGCGATCAGAGATGTGAACGATACGTGGAGTAGATGAGATGTGGAATAAAAAAAAAGTCAGAGGTATCTCAAAATGAATGAAATTATAATTTGTAATCAATGATGGAAAATGGACTTTATCAAAAAATAAATAAAATTAAAACATAAAAAGGCAGAATAAATTTATATATCCACAAAAAACAAATAAATAAAGGTCGGATAATGTAAATCATAACAATAAAAATCGCATAAAATATTCGTGAATATATTTCAATAAAAATGATATTTAACGTTTTTTTTTATATTTCCTCGCGTTTCGTAAACCTTCCAAGATTTACGTGTCTTTCATCATCGATTTGAATTTCTAAACAATGGAGATGCAGTAATCATCGTGACATCATTATGTTGGAAAAGAAGGAATGATGTCTGTGACATTCCACTCCTTTTTTTCGCTTTTTTTTCTCGTTATAAGATATGAAAAAGAAGAAATGCGATACATCCAAAATATGTCCTTAATGTCATCGTTAGTGGCGATCATTAATTCAGTGCTATGGCACGACGAAATATGAAAAGATACTATCGATTATATAATAATCTATTGAATTCATTAATATTTCATTAATGTGCCTGTAATAAGCATCCGTCATACCGAAAACCTTGTCATTTTGCAAACAAAAACAATTGTTTCTTTTAATTTATCTAACTAAACAAATTTAAATAAAACGAGTACATCTGTAAGAATAATTTTGTAAACAGAAACTAAAGCAAATTATATATGTACATTTATTTATAATATTTTGTTGTGTATTTGAAAGCGCATCCGTTTTTTTTCGTTTATTATTTTTTAATACTACATTCTCTTTAATCAGCTTCGAGAAAATATCGAAGAACTGATAATTTTTCAGTTATGAGGAATTGAAAAAGAAAGCTTTCTCGTAAAGCTTTCTCATAAAAGTTGAAGGGAAAAGAAAATTTTCTCGTGAAAAAACTTAAGAGAGTTAAATGGAAGTACTACATTCGGACACAGATTTTATAGAATTCCAATGCAGAGCTTAATTATACAAAAACATATGAACGCTAAAAGAATTCGAAAGACGCGATAAATAATAAGTTCTCTCTCGAGATTTTCGCTAAGGAGAGACTCCAAATGATTGAGCAATCTAAAATTGAGAAATAATGCGCGAGAAGTGGGACAGTTTATATAAAGTTGTTAACAGTCTGTTGAAATTTAGAATCGCAATCGCGATGAAATCGCGTATGTTGCGACAACCATTGAAATCTTCTCATTGTCCCTATTTCGGCAAATACCATTCTGGCAAGTGTCTGTCGTTGGTAGAGTAAAAAATCAGAGTATATACAAAATAAAAAAAAAATGATAAGCAATTCTCGGATCTTCCATTTGATGCCGATATATACCCATGAATGACAGCGCGCAGGCGAATGAGAGAGAGAGAGAGAGAGAGAGAGAGAGAGAAAGAGAGAAAGAAAGAGAACCTGCACAGGGGTAGCAAAGAAAAGTCGCGCTCGTGCGCGGATATCCGCGGCCGCGAAGCGGAACGGAGTGGAGCGGTGCGGGCGGCGTGGCGTCGAGCGGTAGAGTGTTTCTCACCTGAAAGTCACAGTAAATAATTTCGTTGTCGTCGAACAGTCGAATAGTGGCGCGATGCACCACCGTCACGTCGCTCTTGCTGCCGAATTTCAACATTTCTGCCCTCAAGTCGCCACCCAAATTATCCCTCCGGTCGTCATCGTCCCTTCCTCCACAGCACCACACACTGCCCGTTTATTAATCGCGGCACGCTCCACCGTCGTCGTCGTCGTCGACGCCGGTCGTCGTCACCGCCGTCGCCGCTAACGCGCGACCGTACTCGGTATTAATCGGCGAGCTGGCACGGCACGGCGCGACGGCACGGTTGCACGGTTGCGGTGAACGACGACACATCACCGTAGCAGAAGAACGCGAAGCTGTCTGTCAACCAGTTTACTGCTGCGCCGCCGCCGCCGCGACCAACGCGCCGTTGCCACATCTCTTCATTTCTGCCCCGCCGCGCCACTGACAGTCCGCTGCCTAATGTTGTCTCAATGTTGCCGTTATCCAACTGTCATGGACTCCGCCCGCGCCGGTTTCGATTTTCGAATATACGGCCGCGTGTGAGCCACGCTGTCAGCGAGCGATACTTGCTTCGAATCCATCAGATTGCTGTACATACACTGTATAATTGTCAAATTTATTTTTTAATGATTACAACGATTTAGTATCTGTTTCCATAATGGTTAAGGATTTAACCACATTTTACAGATTATTCTATCATTTACATCTAATTGTATCTATGTAAAATTTGAGCACAATTTTCTGATTGGTTTGAAAATTATATTTAAGAATATTTGAGAATATTTAGTGTAACATTTAGAGGAATATTGTGGTTCTAAATGTGTAAAATTTTTTTGAACAAGTAGAGGGCGCTATTTGTCAGTCAATAACGATAGCTTCGGAGAACTTAATTATCGACCAACGATGGTTCGTACATTTAGGCCAGTATTCATAGCATTCTTATTTCAGGATCGTCGTAAGTAATATTTTAAAACGCTAATATTGCTTTGTAATTGATTCATAAGATTTCAAGACTCTAATTAAGACATATGTACAGTCTTAAATGTGTATATAAAAATCGAGTCTGAATACCGGCCTTAGAACGCTCCATTATCAACTATCCCCAAAATGGTATTCTATAAGAATACGTATATATAAGAACCCACTGTATGAATATCGGCCGAAATAGATATTCGACCGCTGGTACAAATACGAGCTATCGTTCGTCGGTCCATTAGGTTCGATTCATCTCAGTTGAAATCGGTTGATTTAGCTACCGCGAAGTGTCGTGCGCGCAGGACGAGAATACTTGTGAGTTGTGAAGTTGCTCGCGGGTGGGGGCGAGTCGAGGGCGTCGGACAAAGGTTGGTCGCGTCGAGCGACCGGCCGGCAGCGCATTTGCGACTCAAACATGGCAGCGGCTACCAGCGTTGTCGTGCTCGACAGGGGCAACAACACCACCTGCACCATCAATTTACACGGTGTGTGTGTGTGTATGTGTGTATATGGTGTGCGTGTATGTGTGCGTGCGTATATGGTGTGTGTGGATGCGTGCGTGCGTGCGTATATATGAGTGCGCTGCGTGAAAGTGTCGCGCGCGAAATCGCAAAGAAACACGACCGAGAATTGCAATGAGATGACTGAAAGCTCCGAAACGTTTTCGCGCGTCGCGAGTTTACGCGTCAATCGCGCTGCCGTTGCCGCGTCCTGACGCGCGACCGACAAAGCCCTACGTACATACGTACGTACGTATGTGCCTGCGTGTATGTTTTGTGCGAGTGTATGTCTCCGCTCTCGCGGTCTATTCCTTTACGCGATTTAGGCACGTCGACGGCCGGCAGCCGATGATGACGTGTTATCATCGTCCGGGTGCCCCTTCACGTGTCATCGTGCACCCTTCGCGCTTCCATCCGCGATCGCTCTGATCGATATTCTGATCTTGATTTTCCATTTTGCAGGAGCCACCGTAGTGTCCTGGCGGGTGAATAACCAGGAACAGCTGTTCGTTAGGTAAGTACATGCATGAGATTTCATAACTGCATGATAGCACATAATACTTTGACAGACAAATCATAGTTCCCGCGATTCCAATTATCGCGTATTGCTCTTTTAATTTAATTTTCGCATTTCCTGTATTTATTCGATCAGGGATATATTTTTTTAAATTGTAAAGTATCTTAAAGAAAAAAAATGACATGTTAAAATTGGATATATAGTATGCCTTCCAACAAGCGATACAAGTGACATGGTGTAACACAATGGATCATTATATCCTTGTTGTTTGCCAATGTTAAACAAAGATGACATGATCACTGGTGTCGCACCGTATCGCTTGTTAGAAGGCACAGAGATTGATTAAAATCTTGTGTAAAATCTGGTATAATTGTTAACAGACATTTAAAAGAAAATACTAAATTAATCTTAAATTATATATTAAATTTAATATTAAATCTTTTAACATTACCGTGGATCTAAATTAACCTTAATTTCGATTCAAGGTAAATCTAGCTTTTTCTTCTAGCAAGGAAAGAGTGTCATCATAAAAGTAAAATTACATGTAATTCATTATGATTATTTATGAAAAGTCACAAAAATCTAAAACTCCACGTGCAAACCCAAATTAACTCAAAAAGAAGAACTATCAGATAGTAAATAAAAAATGGCATGCAGCCGCGATTTTTAGTGTTATTATTAAATCTTAATTTTAATTGATATATCTGGTAGTGTCTCGGTGCTAAGTGCTACACGCAGCGATAATTTACGCGATCAAATTTTGCTCCTTATAATCAGATTTAACCTAAATCTGATTATAAGAAGCAACATTTGGGTCGCATGAATATTAAATGTATCAATTATAATAATACGTAAACAGATTAAATTTTAAGGTCTATTATGTTTAAAGTCTAATACAGATTTATAGAAAAATATTTTGAAAAAATGCCAATTTTTCGTAAATCATCCTGTATAGGTCATAAGACGCGATATAAGAATCGTTGAAATAAGCGTTGACGCATGTTGTAAGGTTGCGCGCGAGGTTACGCATCTTAGATGAGATAGAATGTATTTAGCTTAATCATACGTTACGACGCAAAATTATAGCGTCGAAAGATCATTTACATGAGCAATCTATTGCAGAAAATCAAACGGATAAAATAATTAAGATCATAGAAAGTTGAAGCGACGTAATTTGATGAAAATTTAATGAATTTTCTAATGTTTCTTAATTTTAAATTAAATTTGTTTAAAGCGTTCTTGAGAAAGTAAATATCGTATGTATTTATGTGTTAATGAGAAAGATTGTATGTATATAATGTTTAAGATAAATATTTAAATTTAAAACTTTTAAATCGAGATAAATACTTAGACAAAGTTTGAATTCGAAAATTATTAAGTCGAAGAATTTTCTAGTAATATTGTAAATTATCTAACAGATGTATCGAGAAATTTTTACGATAATTAATAAAAAAAGACTGTAATTGTGAGTTTTGAATTCAGAAACAAAATTTTAGAATTTTAGAAATAAAAGGGTTTTGAATACGGACCATAAAATACAATTAAAATTGTACAATTAAAATTTTTTAACACCTCGGTTCATGTCGATCTATTCGAGATTGCAACACTTAAATTTATGTCATCGATCTGTTCGAAACTGCAAAATTTAAATTCATAATGCCAAATTATACTCAATTTGAATTATTTTTAATCATTTCTATAGGTCGCTCTATTACTTAATATGTTGTTAATTAAAAACTATGGCGTAGTTAAATTAATTTAATTAATTAAATTTAATGAGTTTAACTCGAATTTATCTATTATTTATTAAGTATACGTACGTTAATATGAATATTGTATACTTTGAAAGAAATTTATATTTTAATATACACAGTTAAAAACAATAAAATATCATTTAATTGAAGGAATTAGGTGGTTGCCATTGTTCCTTTGGGCATATATTATACAGTAAAGACCTGTATTATGCTAGTCACAGATTACTCTTCGAGATTGGCACTTTCTAGATGAGAACAAAGTCTGCGTGTTCCACATGCGCACAGATTGCCCAACAAATTGCTTTCAGTCGGATGAAAAAAAACCGATTGCAAGTTGTCGAGTACAAGAATGAAACGATTAAAGTATCATCATCCATGAGAACAATACAGAGTGCAGTTTAAACTTCGACTACTGTAATAGATAATAATATAATCGCTATAGCAGACGCAAGCAAGCAAATGAACGAATTATATTATAGTTTCGATGGATGCAGATCAATGCCAAAATCTGTTTCGTTCACGATGACTCACAAAAAGAGATTTCACCGCTGTACGTGACTGATTCAAGGCTCTCGCCGCGAAATGTACCGAAACGATACGCAGTTCCAATCAGACTGAGAGCAAATCGAATTTACTCGATCATATTTTCCAGTCATCTTTTAATTTTTTAATCCAATTTAATTATATATTCAAGATTAAACGTGCATGTATTTGCATAGTTCGTTTACATTGAAATATTAATATCGATTTATTAATTCAGCTTTTTCTCAACAATATCGAATGTTATTTTATGATCAGTCACTGCGATTGCTTTTTTTACTATGAATAGGATGAACATCAGACTGTAATTCTCTGTATTACAAACGCGACGGCAATGCATTAAATACCTCGGTAAGGCACAAATGATACGTTCTTCCTCTCGTTTTAGTATACGCGAACATTGAAAGTTCTCTTTGATATGTAAGTAATCTTCCTTTCGGATTACATTGTTCATTTTGTGCATCAAACTTCTGAAAATCCACTTTACCATCCATTATATCGAACAAAATCTATATATATTTATACATAAGTAGTTTGATAAGTCAGTGACTTTTTAAAAGAAGAATATGTTGAAAAATAAATCACATTATGATTCTTTTCAACAAAGTTGAAAAGAAGTCACTGACTGAACTACCTTCGTATTTTCCCAATTTTTGTCTCTCTCTCTCTCTCTCTCTCTCTCTCTCTCTCTCTCTCTCTCTCTCTCTCTCTCTCTCTCAAGTAGTATCATTCTTTCGCGACAATGCAATTCCGTAGCACGAGAAAGAAGAGACAACGAGAGAAGGCACGCTCGCGCGCGCGCGCGCACACCTGCCGAGAAAGAACCGCGTAAAAGCGCGGTGCCCGTGACGATCGCTTTAAAAGCGGCAGCCCGAGAGCAGACGATGAAAAAACTGACGGAGAGCGAAGGCAAGGGCGCTCTCTGGACCAGTACATACCTTATACACAGGGTTCAGGGCCCCTCGTCGCTTGCCAGTCATCGGTCTTTCCGACTGTAAAGCCGCTGTCGAGACTGGGTTTTGCAATAGATCCGCGGCTATTGGAATTCACGATGACAACGTGAAACCGAAAAGTCATCATTTCAGTACATTTAATTGGCGTACCGATCGTACTTTCATCAAAACGAAACAAACCTCGCTATTTCGGTTACGTAATAGATACTTATATATGAAAGAAATTGCGGTGATTCATCTGGCGAACTCAATTATATATCTTTTTAAATAAGACTACATAGAATGCAATTATTTCTTCTCATACGTACTACTTATTGATGTATAATCGCGAGTCATCATTCGGCTGCTGCCAGAACGTGGCCATCCAGGGTACACACCGTCAAAGAATTTTAAATAACACACGTACACTGTTATACACGTACACAGCGCAAAACGCTCGGCAAACACGCTCGTAATTTACTCCAATTTCCCTTGAAACGGCTATAAAAGTTACGTCGGTATGTCCGGTCGTGACATGATTACTGATCGCGATGCACCGTGCGATGTATGAGGTATATATATTTTAAGTACGAATGCTACGTGTTTGATGTTTAGAAACAAAGGAAGAAATTTAATTTCAATTAACAATATTGAAGAAATTAATGCTCAATATTCGATGTTCGTTTACGGATTCTAACAAGCAACAAAATCTCCAATGAATTTCATATTAACTTTAATGAGATTTTAACTTGAGGCGGTAACTTTGGTTATTTCTTATTAATATCAAATTTTATACAAAGAGGAAAAATAGCGCTCGAAATAATTACAAGAAATCATTAAATTGTAAAATATTCCTCAAGTGCGCATAATATAAAATGCACCTTGTATATATATATATATATATATATAAATTATTAAATGTATTGGCTGCATTCAGCAAAAAAAGAAGCTTTATGACAATTGTAAAATTTTTTACTGATTGGTATTGCTCTTAGTTCTTTACTGGATTTAAATGTATAAACCTATCATATTAAAAAATTTTATAATAATTGCAAAGCGGCTTTTTCTGCTGAATGCAGTCAATGCATTTAGTAATGATTATCAAATAGTGAAACACGCGCGCGAAATTGAGTCAGTCGTTCTGAAGCTGACCGGTTGTACCCGCGCACCATCGGTAACATGAGAGGACCACGTGCAGCATCTCTTGGTTCTTACAATCCGACCGCGGATGTCGACGTGCCCTCGTCGAACATCTGCGTCCACGACGGGGCCCAAAAACGGAAATGAGGAATCAGGACGAAGCAGCGATGCATAAACGGCGACGAACTATAGTTGGGACTCCGTTAGCACGATAAAATAATCAGGCGAATTCCGATTTACCGATTATTTTACGGTCACGGCAATGATGGGAATAGATAACTTTAGATCTGTTTTTTCATTATTCTTTTATTTTTATTCTTCAGATTACACTATCATATATAATATATATATCAAATATCATATATATATGATATTTAGTAAAAGAATTTTACCAAAGTGTATCTGATACAAGAACAAAAAACAGATCTAAAGTTACCTATTCCCATCATTGTCGTGACCGTAATATATCTACTTTATTTTTAGTTCCAAAAATATGTACCTTTTCAGTCATACAAAACAGCCACAAGAAACTTTTGTATCGATATGACTATAAAAAGATAAAAATTCGGATACCTGGCTATTTAATTATTCACTTCGGAGATCTAAACCAAAGACATGAAGACTTCATCCG